TCGTCGCAAGTGCGATTGCCGGGCAAAATACTACTGGGTTTTTCTAAAAAAAATCAGTATTGCCAAGGCATCTGGAATTGTGCCCGGTACGGTACCCCCTATTAAATGGGACTCATAACATAAATAGTGAAAAGTGACTGTTACATTGTGCAGTAGCATTAAGTGCCGTAATGTGTACCTCTGCCTACCCCTCTGGGGATAAAAGGCGTAATGTTATGTTGTGTTATGTCATGTTTAGATTAGTCACAGATGTGGCTCAGATTTGTCTCATTGATTCGATGTTTATACGAAACCGCAGTAGAGTGAGGTTTGAGCACTTCTGCGAATATCTCTGTAGATCAACAGACAAACAAACGATTTCTGTTTTCATATAAATTGTTTCCTTTCAATTCCAAGCTAGGATTTTAAACCTTTCTATCAACAATTAATTACGTCTGCACCCGAAAATCTCCCACAAATCGGAGAAAATTCGATCCTAGCAACACTGCCTCATCCCTCTCACTCACTCATTAATACATTAAACACACATTAAGATGTGATTGTGGATGTTAGAGACAATGCCTTATTTGCCGACCGTCCTTTGCAAACTTTGAATAAATTTAATTTTAGGGGCCGAACGCACCCTTAAGATTTGTGGTTCTAGTTCGGAGAATGTGGTGAGGTGCAGGGTTTACTAATGTTTTGTTATTGTTTATTCATGAGAATGCTCTATTTTAACTAACTAGGTCAGAAGGAGAAGGTTAGAAGAAGAAGGAGAATAATGCTTCAAATTGAACATTTTTTTGCATATTTTCCCAGTTTTATGATCATTCCTGTCTAAAATATTTTGATTCTGATATAATATAATACCTATTTGCAAGATACTCTATACAAACCAACGATGGAATACAAATAAGCTAAAATATAATTTGTTTATCAAATCACACTCATATGTTTCTAGAAAACTTTGTATTATTACACAATTTGTAAATAATCGAAGACGCTAACAAAATAATGTATGTATACAAATCAGCATAATAATATGAAAAGAAGCAAGTTTTCTTTTTACAAAATTTCATAAAACAAGCTAATAAAACTCAAATAACTAATTAATCTTTAAACAGAGTCGACATCAATGCGTAAATAAATAAAACCTCCATGGCGGTTTGACATAAACCAAAGATGTCACAATGACAGTTTATTAACAGTTTCCACAAAAGCGGCGACATTTCTATAAAATGACAGGCGGACTTCCGTCACGATGATCACGACCGCGGTGGTCAGTCAGAGACTAAATATATGTAACAGATGCGACTAATGTAAGTTGGATGGTTTAATGCCTATAAGCAAATTATGTCACCTTTTTAAATCTTATAACGTTTATGAAAATATTCTGAGGAACCCATGGTGTATCATCATCTTTCATTGTGTACAGTTCATCATCGCATAGGTCTTCCAAAAGGTTTCCATAGATAACATAACATAACATCACGCCTTTTATCCCCTGGTAGGCAGAGGTGCACATTACGGCACTTAATGCCACTGTACAATGTAACACCCACTTTTCACTATTTATGTTATGAGTCCCATGTAATAGGGGGTGAGCCTATTGCCATATACCGGGCACAATTCCAGACTCCGTGCTACTACTGAGAATTTTGAAAAAACCCAGTAATACTTTGCCCGACCCGGGAATCGAACCGGAGATCCCTTGCTCGGCAGTCGCACTTGCGACGAGGCAGGCAGTTTCCATAGATATATACTCAATTCACTTCTATTGAAACACTGTTTTGTGACTTCATTCACAACAGCACAGCAGAATGCCATTCAAACTATAATTAGTTCGATGTACAAATCTAAACTGTTGTTGAGTACTATTGTCCTTGTGAGTTTTACTTGTTAATTAAAATTTATAATTTTTTTAACAAACAAAAATGAACATAAATATCCACAAAATCAGTAGTCATATCTGTATTCAAATATCCTTACTCTATGCCATATTTGTCGCCGTGTTGCCGCCGGTGCAGAACGCCGCTCCTTTTGATGTCGGATCGGCGCGTGGGCACGAAAACCTACAAATGTTAACAATTATTCAAAATTCTATCGTTTTTTTTTAATTCGAATACAATACGTTCTTTTATTTATGTGTGTCATTGTTTTAGGGTGTTTAAAATTTTGTTCATAAGTAAACTCACGCTTTTGTCTCATGAGCAGAAGCATAAAATAAATAAAAACTACTTCATCTTTCATCTTTAAACATCAAGAACATGACATTACTTCATCAGGTCTTTCATGCCTAAAAAACATTCACACCTAAACTACTATGCTGCAACTAATTTTTTAACCAGCTACATAAAAGAAGGCCGTCTGACAATAATCTTGTTTTAATAAACTCCTAGCATTTTTTTAAGGGGGGAAAATCATCGAATGACGGCTCCCACCTGGGTGAGGCGGGAGGGAGTGTCATACTTCATACTCTTACTGACTAAAAACCACCCCGTTCCTTCTCTTGCACGTCGTGCCGGAGCCCCGGTAACCTGTTAGGTTCTCCGCGACTAAACTCCTAGCATACGCATACCTTTAGGTTATGTACTAACAATCCCATATCGTTTGTGAGACATACATAATCAATGATTATGTTTTTCGGCTTAATCACGTAATTATTTGAATCGGAACTCGACTACTTTCAAGCTATGCTAGAAGCTATTCATAAGCAGCATTCCGTGATCCGCAACTGTAGCAGCGCGACAGTTCCTCGTCAAACAATTAGGTGAGAGTAGGCCGAAAAACTTAACAATTAAGTCCCATATCGCTCTCCCAACGATTGATCCCTATAACTCCATTCCCACCGGTATTACGCCCTCACATTAAATTGGGCAACTTAATCCATTTAATTGTTAAACACAGTGTTAATAGTCGATGACAATTGTAACAGCAACCCGCCCCCATGCGGGCCGCTCTAATGATCTCACTAGTCTTTTGTGTTGATGAGAAATTAGATGACTAGTTGTAGTTTTTGATCATAATTTATTTGTTTTTTCGGTTGATTGTTATTAATTGCAAAAGGAAAAATGGTGTTCTATATAGAAAGATAGATCCAAGACGACCAGTTGCTCTGTACTATAAGAATAGTGCAGCGCTACTAGTAGTCTTTAGTTCTATGACTGGGTTGTCGATTACAGTTTCGGACGCTTTTGCTGAATTTAATAAAATGATGCGACGCCTCAGTCACAGGGTAGAAAATCGGTCTCCGTAAGTTCTAGTGGAAAATTCGAAATCATGGACTATAAATCCGAGTAATCCAAAGTTAAATTGAAATTTTGTACTTGAAACCGATGGTCTCACTATCAACAACGCGAGCGATACACAACGGGACGGTAATATTTATGAAATATTTTAATTAATAAGACACAAGCCATGTTATATTACCTGATTTCATGCTCTAATAACTATCACATCTTTATTATTTAGTTCCATAAACCAACATTTACGACAGAACAAACAGCCCAGTAAATCATATTAATTCAAAACAAAGTTTATCGATACACAATAACTACTCAATTACTGTCACAGTAGGACTTTTGATATTTTTATCAATCTGCCATTTACTCGGAATAACTATATGATTGATCGATGTCAAACGAACACGACAATGCTAGGATAATAAATCGATTTATCGAATGAATTGTGTAATCGATTATGGTACAATGTATTAATAAAGGGATCTGTTGTGGTCTTTTCATTTTTTTGTGATGTCATTGAGGGTATTTGGTTCGGTTACGGAATGGGAGATTATTAATTTTATAAATTAATACAAATCGTGACTTGTTCTCTTAAAAAGCAAGTACCTACCTAAAGCAATACCTAATAAACACTGTCACGATTAAGGTACACTTTCCGAATATAAATGAACACTAGTGCAAATCCATGCATAATAAATATTATCTATTGAATTAGCATTTGCCAAAATTACGTAAAAAAGAGAGTGAATAAAAAAAACATGATATCTTTTTGAGCTGTTAGATCTAAAACTCATGAAAACTACGTAATTTTTTAATACGTAAAATAACCTATGGAGACAACCTCCATAGGTTATTTTTATAGGACAAGCGTCACTCGTCTGCCACAACCCTCAGAAACAGCTGCCACTTCTGTAAACCAGGATCAGTACAGTAGATACAATCATTAAAACACCGGAACACTGAAGTCCATCGCGTCCCAGGACAGAACTAATAACTATCTTAGTTCCCGCGACGAAATAAATCAGAAGATATTATTAGAGGATAAGAAAACAATAGAGGTTTATAATAGTAACGCACTTGTAACACCTCTGGTGTTCCAGGTGTCCATGGGCGACGCCGATTGCTTACCATCAGGTGATTCGTCTTCCTCGTTTACCAGGTTAGTCCATAAAAAAGTTAATAATAAACAGCCAATCAACAGCTGAAACAAATGACACAAATAAAATTATCAGTTTAAATTACCTCAAAAACCCCCAACAACTCAGTAAATTTGGTCAGAATGTTCAATTACTCCAACCTACCGATGAAGTACTAACTTTATTTACCACTGTCTATAACTTAGACCTCATTCATTATGCCAAAGTTTCAAGTAGCATCCAAGTTTTAGTGTACTTGTAGTTAAGTTTGACATACTTACATTAATTGGGAACTGGTAACGTGGAGAATGGTGGAGTTGATACCTGGTACATGATTTGTGAGGATACCTGGGTCTTGCTTGAATTACTAATTTACTGTAAAGTAGTTAGTAGTTAAACTTTGTGTCGAACTGTGTGAGGGAACATGATGTTTTAAGTGTGAGGGAGAATTATTGTGTTCTTCAATTCGGATTACACCAAATCGAAAAATTTGTATAAAATTGACCGAATATGTACTTTCTTTATGAGATAATAATAATAGAATATGAAATGACACTGACTTTACATGTGGTAGTAATGGTAGAACGGTTGGTGTGCTGGCTGGGCCACCAGCGGCCGTGTAATGTGTCGCGGGTTTAATTCTCGGACGGAACTTTGTATGACAAATTTATCCACAAATTGTTTCGGGTCTGGGTGTCATATGTATGTGAACTTGTATGTTTGTAAAGCACCCTCGATACAGGAGAAAATCCTAGCGTGGGACAACGTATTTGATAGAAAAATTTTAAAAAACTAATGTGAATAATGTCATGAGAAAGAAAGGAGTTTGTGATAGGATGCCATCAAGTGAATAATTCCATTACGGCTGTAAATTAGTTCGACGATGTACAGCTATGGAATTTTTCAAACAAGCATTCTAGTGGATTTTTCCTTACATAACAAATAGAACGTAACACAATTATATTTCAACACAACAAATGAACAACACTTCCACGAACCACGATAATAATATAAATGTTATTGACATTAAAAAAGAAATGAAACTCATCGAATAGATCCGGGATTTCTCTACAACATTTTCTAAAGTAGCAATTACTGCGAAAACAAAATAAAAATGAAACACATTGCATTCACGATTTAGTTTTTACTAGAGAACTAACAATGGGTGATCGAGTTCCTACAAAAACGATGTTGAGATACACTATCAAATTTTTATAGGGCTTATGAAAAGGTTTTTATAAAAAAACTGTTAAAATACATTACGTTTTTTGTTCGTTCAACGTTTGCCGGTCACGTGTTTGACCCCGCGATGGACGGTGCGCCGTGAATTTTTCATTAGTTTTTTTTACGTTTTAGAGAGATTGTGTTTGTGTTGAAAATGGGTTAGTTTGTTAGGTTCTTCATTCAAATTTATGGTTTGATTTTTACTTTATGTAAAGGTAACATTCACTTTAACTTTTCGGTATATAAAACCATTTAAAATTATTCAGGAAGATGAATGAAAATCGTAATGAATCGGCACATCATCATCAACGACAGCCTCTAACAATACCCTACAAGACTATGAGATTTCTCTTCATAAGAAAGGTTATTTATACCATTACCTCCACGCTTAGTAAGAGAATTGAAGATCCCAGTTTCAAATATACGCACACGTTAACACCTCAAATGCACACATGCATCACCAAGACAGGGGAGCGGGCGGCTTGGTAACGCGACGGCTTGGCGACGTCCAGCGCACCCTCAACACTCTTTCCAACAACGCGACCACTATTGCATGATTTTTAGTTATAATTTTGGACCATTGTACAACACCTAATATGTATGTACCTTTGAAATACAGTCCGCTTTCATTTCCACATGAGCCTATGTTCTGGTGTATCAGAGAGCCCTGCTGCCAGATCTCCATTAAAATGCGTAATTCGTACAAAATCGACAACAATTTGTTAACAGCACAATTCAATAAAATTTCACAAACAAATCAATAAGGAAATAACATAAAACCAACCTGCAACTGCAATACAACATAAACTGACAACAAAAGCCGAATGTTGTCAGAAATTTAATTGAAAACCGACATATCTCGAGGATTTGTAACAAGGAATAAATTGGCGTTTCACATTTGATAGAAACGCTCGGCTCAATCGAGATTTATCTCGATCAATATCCTCTGACGTTCCAATTACATAGTATGGCTACAAGTTGTAAAGTCACTCCGCTTTACTGTTAAGGAACGTTTACATGCATTGTATTAAATACACCGACACAGCGACCTATGTCGTATTGTTGATGATTAAGCATGAACCCTTTCAAGTTTTGGTTGCCCTGATAAAGTCTTAGTATTTTTTTTTGTATAGACTGTCTTGTTAGCCGATGCTGTAGTCAATGGCGACGCATAATGATTTGATTTTGATTCCTTTAGCAAACAAAATGAAGTATTGAATCACAGTTGTCGAATAAAATACATTGGTTACATCGTATCGTAATAAAAAGGTTGAAGAAAGTCTTTTTATTTAAATTATAATATTTATGTGCACAACAGATGATACAGAAACAAAAGAAATTGAAAGACTACGTCCGTTATCCCAAATATCATGTATTGAATCGCACCGAAAGTATTACTGGGTTTTAAAAAATCTCAGTAGTAGCACGGAGTCTGAAAATGTGCCCGGTATATGGCAATAGCGTCACCCCCTATTACATGGGACTCATAACATAAATAGTGAAAAGTGGGTGTTACATTGTACAGTGGCTTTAAATGCCGAAATGTGCACCTCTGCCTACCCTTTCGGGGATAAAAACGCGTGATGTTATGTTATGTCTTGAACTGCATCTTATCAAAGCCTTTTCAAACAGAAAATCTTTCAACAACACGATTTCCATTAAACCATGAGTCAGCAAACAAATGGTACAAATGTACCCAGCCTTTAACAGAGCACTCATTTAATAGTAACACGTACAGATTTACGACGCATACGAAATCGGTTATCTTGTATCTGTCCCACAATGATTTGTTTTTGTTACACTTATAATATATGGAGCCGGTTCTGATCTGAGATACGAACAGCATTGTAATACAATAGTGAGTAATTATGATTGAATGTACTTACTTTCAATAGCTTGGTTTGATTCAGAGGTCAATGAACGCTAAGTGATCTGTTTAAAGTGTCGATTGTGGATGGGAAATTGGGAAATGGAAATGTGATGTAGATATCTGTCTGTAGTATCTAAAGCGAAAGATATGTAGGTAGGAATCGTAGTACATTGCCTTTCATAGTCTCTGCTTATCCCCATGAGAGACAGACGTGAATATGTATCTATGTATATAAGATAATGTAACACGATACCACTGTTTACATCATTTTGTACTTTTCGCTAATACTGTCCAGTGATATTTTAAATAGGAGAAAACATCCTTGTTCTGATTTAGATATCTTTTAGCTGATGATGACAATTAAAGAGCAAGTTCTCTTACCGATCTCTTAGTAAATCAGTAAATCCATTTGGATATTGATTCTCTGGTGATATCAAACTTAAGATTATGTACTCAACAATCTCTTACGGTACTTACGGTACACCTTATAACTACTTTTCAAAACTTACAACTTACATGATATTTCCAATTTTTATATATAAATTGGATTCATGTTATCAACAGCCTATCAGTGGCCACTAATGACAAAAGGTCTCTTTTCGTACGGAGAAGAATTGAGCATTAATCACCACGCTTGCTCAATGCGGGTTGGTAAACTTATAATTTTAGAAATTATAAGCCCTTACGATGTTTTCTTTCACCGTTTATCAGTGGTGTCTCGATAATCTTAGAAAGTACATATAACTCGGAAATAGTCACATTGGTTCTTACCGTTTGTAGGTTTCGATGTCGAACCCTCATGCATGAGAAGCAGGCGTCTTAAACCTCCGGGCCACCACAACATGTATTCATTGCATTATTATTATTAACTGCATTATTTTCTGTACAATATCACACTTTAACAAAACGCCAACTTTCAACATACCTATAACTTGGCTATAAAGTTAGTGTTAAGCTATTAGATAAGTTCAGTGCTTACTTAATGCACAGTCCGTGTTTGCAGATTGTGTTAAATGTTTGTTCGGTAAGTTTAGATACTATCTTTATGTTACCTTTAAGTAAATGATTGCGAGAATGGGTGAATATGGGTAGAAATATTCCATTATGACTCTGGAATTATCTCTAGTGTGTGAAAGGTTAAAAGGATTGTGTATAAGGTTATGTTTCATAGAATATTTTAATGTATTGGGTTTTTCTATTGAAGAATAATCGCAGGTTTTTTTTTATGGAATACGAGGCAAACGAGCAAACGGATAACCTGATGGTAAGCGATCAGCGCCGCCCATGGACACTCGCAACACTAGAGGAGTCACAGGTGCGTTGCCGGTTACTAACGTGAATATACTGGGCAGGATCAGTAGGCTACGCGACATCGCCGCGACTGCGCACGCTCCTCATGAGGAAGAGCCCCACTGCGGCTCGAAACTAGTAAAGCTTTTATCAGTATAGTTTACGAGAGTAACCCGCGATTTTTATTTAATAGAGATTTTTTTACGAAGGATGGAGATTTTTAATGGAGACTTTCTTACGAACCAGTACGGAGTTCCAATTAGAAGTTAATTGTTGATCTGAGGTTTGCACATTATAACAAAATGATGCTAATAAACAGTACCTACCTGGGTATCTAGATGTCAAAATATTATATGTTAATAGTTCATTATAGGAATCTACTATTAATAAAACTAATAAAAAATAAAACAATCGATAAGATTAATAAAGCGAAGGATACACTAAGGGATAAATAAATGTCCTACGACACGTGTTGCTACGTCGGATGAAGTAGCGTGACGTTGCCGGACTTTGGTCGACATGTCTTGCAACATCAACGTCACTGTGGACATAGAAAGAAAGAAGAAGAAAGAAAGAAAAAACACTTATTCAGCACCAGCACGATGCAGCATAAATAAAATATAAAAAAGACAATAAAGGCGTGACAGTGGAAGTAATAAAAAGATTGAGTTGAAAAATTAAAACAGAAGAATTAGAAGAGAGACGCTGACAACATGCCTATGCTAAAAGGGTCACCTACTCAGTGTAAGCCAGCCAGTAACATAAGTTGCGCGTTGTCACCGTATGTCAGGCGACATCGGCCGGCTTCGCTCGATAAGTCGCTGATACATGTCGTGGGACATATTTTGTACCCTAGTGTATTGTGTACTTAATGAAAAATAACAACGTAAACGAAAAACTAAAGCAAACGGTAAGCTCAGGGCATACAAATATTTTCGGTTAAATGAAAGCATTACCTACGTCAGCAAGTACCAATTAACCTTTTAGACTAAAATATAACATTTTAACTCTCATAATTTTAACTTCATTATTTACTATTTTTTTCAATTCAGTAATAGTATATTTTGCATGGCACCTCGTATTTACAACCATCTCCCGCTTGACATATTGCGATGTTCAAACTTAGGAACATTTAAATTTAAATTAAAACAATTACTTATTAATAAGGCATATTACAATGTAAACAATTATCTTAATGACAAATTCAGTTGAGTTTTGGGTTTGCTTAGTGTTTATGACTCAATGATATTAATTCTTTTATGATAATAATTACTTAATTTTATCGTCTTGGACTACTTGTGACATCTACCTATATTTTCTTATGACTAATTTAAATAATATAATAAATGATAAATTGTAATTGTAATTAATATTTTCTTATGACTAATTTAAACAATGTAATTAATAAATAAATAATAAATTGTAATTGTAATTAATATTTTCTTATGACTAATTCAAATAATGTAAGTAATAAATAATAAATTGTAATTTTCACAAATAAGTATTGCATGCTAATTGGCAGAATGTAGCTGATCAAATTATTTTATAATACCTACTGTAACATCTACACTTGACCTATATTCGCAATAAATGATTTGAATTTGAATTTGAATTTACATTTGACCTTAATAACCTTTTAGAACCGTCGGGTTTGAGGTCTGTTTGTTCTACCTAGAAGTTCATTTTCTGCTTTTTACAATTACGTATAGAACCAAATTTTATGTTAGGTACATTAGCATAGGTCTTACTTAGGTTTTATTTTAATTTGGTAACCTTATTATTTTATATGAAGGTATGTTGAGAACGAGAATAAATACCGCTAAGCTTAATGGAGATTAGGCTTGTAAAATAATATTTATATTTCGAGTTAATGAATTTTCAGACCTTTCCCTCATGAAGTAACGAATTCACAATCTAACAGTTGACTGCACGATTGGCGCTGTGGCTATGCAACTGACTGCCGTGCAACGTATTGCGAGTTCGATTCCCGCACGGAACAACTCTTTGTGTGATCGACAAATTGTTGTTCCGAGTCTGGGTGTCATGTGTATGTGAAATTGTATGTTTATCAACGCACCCACGACACCGGAGAAAATCCTAGAAAAATCCTTTACAAGAAAACAGTTTCCTTCTTCTTTCCATATAACAATATACAATAAGTAATATATAAGATATTAATGTGCAACTACTACCAATAAAACTTGTTTCTAACATACAATCCAGGCGTAAATATATAAAGTCAATATATAATAAAGCAGGCGTCTTAACCTCTGGGCCACCACGACACACGCTACACGCATCTGTATCGTTCGTATCAAGAACACTATCTTTGAACAAATATACCTATTTATCAATTTTCACCCTCTTCAATCAAGACTTCACTCCAAATTGGCCCTTTTAGATCGTTTTTTCCAAGGCATCATTGTACACCTGCATCCTCCCCTATTCCATCGACCCGTGATAGAGCCTGTTCATCAACTTGGACCCTACTCTACAACGTAAATGGCTCTACAAGAGTTCCCGACTCTTTAGAAAGCGACGAAGCATTAAATAACTGGGAGAGCAGCATTCATGTTGCGATTTTTTTGTCGCACGACTCTCTGTAAGTTCAAAAGGGGTGATGTTTGTGTTTAAAAAGATTTTTTGGGGTTGCGTTGCTAGTTGGCTGTGATATGTTTTTTTGAATTGGGTTTCTTTAACATGTGTGTTAGTTTGACGTTTGTTATGTTCAGCCGATTCTAGTTGCGTCGGCGAAAAGTGTGTCTGTTTATCTACTATTTAGAATGATATAACATCACGCCTTTAATCCCCGAAGGGATAGACAGAGATATACATTATGGCTCTTAATGACACTGTACAGTGTAACACCGATTTTTGACTATTTCTGTTAAAAGTCTCATGTAATAGGGGGCGAGCCTATGGACACATAGCAGGTACATTTCCAGACTTCGTGCTACTATTGAGAATAAAAAAAACCAGTAACACTTTTCCCCTTGCCCGGCAGTCGCACTTGCAACCACTCGTTTAGATTTTTTATAATAGCCTGTTTAGAATGTTTAATAAATAACATGTTAACAGGCGAAAAGAATCCCGGTTGCTTTAAAAAATAAGCTCTTAAGAAAACAATACAAATCAAAACAGCTACACACACCACTGCAACAACGGATACCATGAAAATGCACCAACTAAAACCTCCCGACAATTTCCCCGCACCGTGAATGGGAAACCGTAAAACGTTTCAAACACCATCTATTAGTTTTATAAAGTTCTCACATTTCGTGTTTATTTACACAAGAACTAGAGAAACGTCTCGGTCACATGAAATAATGCTTAGATTTAGTTGTTGGTTCGAATGGGTACAGCTCTAGCAAATAGTGTAGTCATCCAACGTTTATTTATGAAGTGCTACGTCGATATAACTTGTTCGTTTTTGGAAAACATATTTAGAGTTGTCCGTTGTAATCTATGATGCTATGGTTCTCTTGTCTCCGGGGTTTGTGTGGATTAAGGAGAAAGGATTGGTATGAATAGCTTGCTAGTACCTAATATTTTAGTTTTACAGACTAAACGTAATATCCAGAACATTATATTTTGCTCAAAATATGTATTCTTTTGTTAAATGAGTAATTTTGTTTATTTCTTTATTTAAAAAAAAATACGTTACCCGCAGTAGGATTTTCTCCTGTGTCGTGGGTGCGTTTACAAATATACAAGTTCACATACACGTGACACCCTGACCTTTTTTTTTTGATGTCGGGGTGAAACCTGGCGCCTAGCTTTTTGGGGAGAAAGACTAGGGAGTGTGGGATTCTTACCTCACTAAAGCCACTCCGGTGGCCACCCTCAGCGCCTGTAAGGGGCACCGGCTCCTCTGAAGAGACCTGCTACGGAGCCCCCACGTGACACCAAGACCCGCAACAACAATCTGTTGATCACACAAAGAATTGTTTCGTGCGGGGATGGAACCCGCGACATGTTACGCGGCAGCCGCTTACCGTACAGTCATTCCTGAAATTATAATTATTATCTAAGCAAATTGAATTGATGTGATTCCATAATTCGAATAGCACTCATTAATTTTGCGATCACTAATAAAAAAGGCGTTATTTTTAAAAACCAATTTTTAAATAATTACTGTTCTAGAAAACACGTTGGTAAATTACTTTTTACTCTTATGATAACTGCAAATTGACTTGCAAATTTTTATTGGTTATGAAATAAGTGGTGTAGAAAGATGGGCCAAATTATACCGTAAAACGAAGTCATAAAGTGGTAATTAACATGTAGTCTAATGGTGTTATTACTTACGACTAGTTCAAGGTTTCTTTAGATATCCTTTTTTACAGGATAAGCCGGTAAACGAGACGGATCACCTGATGGTAAGTAATCGGCGTCGCCCTTGGACACCTGGAACATCAGAAACGTTACAAGTGCGTTACCGGCCTTTCGGGGATTTGGAATTTGAGGAATGTTGGGGATTCAGGGAATGCGAAGATTGGTGAAGACAGTGGTAATTGGGCCTGCAGTAACCTCACTGACACGACGAAACACAACACAACCTGTTGTTTGTGTTGTTTCACATCGGTTTTCTGTGGGGCCGCGGTATCACTCCGGTCGAGACGAACCATTCGTATCAAAGCATGGCTACCCCGCACTTTAAAAAAAAGTCTTCTGATAATTTCAAACTTATAAAAATACGAACATTAACATTTAGGAAACAATACTTATCTTACAGAATCAGCTCACCATAGGAACAAAACAAAATAAAAAAGGAAAAAACAATCGCTACTTGAATTAGGAACATCAATTTTATATCGGAAGACATCGCCCATCCTCTTAATGTAAGCACTTTAGGGACACCCAGAGGTATACACCGAGTACCAACCAAATTGCCAGTAAATATATATTATAAGCTAAGAGAGTACTATCTCCATTAGGTAATAAATTAATCACAATTCCTCTTAAAACATCGTTATTTAGCCATTACTCAGAAACGTAAGTTTAAGTCTACGAGAAACCAATGTTTAGTGCCCATTTTAATTACCTAAATTCATAGTCGCAGTCCATAAGACCGTAAACCTTAATAGCTCACCTTCTTTGAAATACAGTACCCAACTTTCGTCTTCCCGTATCAAAGCTCGCACCGCGCACGCGCCAAACACCGGTAAAAACGTTGAACACCACGTATTCCAACACGCGACACAGTGTAAATTTTTCAAGTTTATTTTCTTGCTATTGTCGAAGAAATGAATGTTCTACAAAGTTCTGTGTTAATTTTCAAATACAATTTTTATTGTTAACTCCTTTAGATTCTAGTGGTATATTCTATTTTTTTGGTTTTGTATTATTTTTAATATTTGTCACGTACTTTTCAACGAACACGATTTTACCTTTTGTGGTAGGTTTAGGTGCTGCTTAAGTGTGTGTAATAATATTAAGTGTGAGGTGGTCTTGCAGACAATAGGTACCATTATACTGTATCATACATTTTTCATGTTTTGACTTCTTATTGGAACTGACAACAAAGAACTTGTTTCATCAATCTTGACTGATTGTCAGACATGCAATTTATTATTGGCAATTTTTAGATTACAATACGAGATATGCAGTTTAAAATTTTGCTGACTAATTTGATCTTTATTTAAAGATACACTGATACTTCATTAATTTGTATAATTCCTATTTTAAATTGACTGGAAGTGTCATCAAAATAAACAACCCTAGAAAGATTTGATAGTATAAAAATTAACGAATCATTTCAAATATTCAATTTTAGAACATCTTTTGAAATAGTAGAATATAGTTTCAACCTACCATTTCATTTTGAAATTAGAATCCGCGCCAAAGGGTGCACAGTGCGACACACTGGCCAGTGTTTCACGTACCGAGGTGTTCTTGCACAAAACGGAGTCGCCAGTCGTAACCAAGCTTCCGTCGGTCGAGCCCGCACGATCGACTTTTTGCTACGACATTTTGAACACGAAAAACACTTTTTTTTCTTTTTCTTGTGCCTGTGCGACAAAAAGTATTACAGTTTAATCGTTATTGTGCAAGTGTTGTGTTTTTTTTTCTAACGTTTTTGAAGTTTGAGGATACATCGCATTGTTGATGTGAGTATCTGATTTTGTTGTTTATGTATGTAAATTTTTGTTTTTCTTTTTAAGATTCGTTGATGTTATGAATGTTAGGTAATACAGTATTTCAGAAATGATTTCTTCTTAGAGATTGGCCCTTAGATAAAGAGTCGATGACTTATCCGTTATGTTTTTGATATCTTTAATTTTCACAACTCTAGGTATGATATTTACAATAGGAGGTGGTTCAACTTTTTTTGACTCCTGGATTTTTTTTTGTTTTATTACAATATAATATATTTCAGAGTGACTGAACAAACATGGAATCTTTAGTATAAACGACACATGGCTGGCATTACGCTTGTTAGTAGGCAGTAGAAAAGTTTTTGGAAACTATGGATAAGTTTACAACTGTGTTCCTTGTGAAGTTAGCATAAAGGTGATATTGGTATAAAGCATGGAATACCAAGCATCAGCATCATATCAATGCTCTCTGATAAATTTGAACCTTTTTAAACGACTTCAAAAAGGAGGTCCTCGGTATCGGTTTGACCTGTATGTATGTTCGTGAGCGTTTATTTCATGATCGATTGAACTAATTTAGAAGTTTTTAGTATATCAATAAATCGACCTCTAGAAAGACAGAGTCAAAGTCGGTTTTTTTAACGTAGTTTATAAAAGAATTGTTATTAATTTGAAACCTTCATCACACCTGTCAAACTCGAAGATTATGATTACCCTTGGCCTGGTCCAGTAGTGGACCAACATAGGCTATTATTAATGATAAAAATTAGCTTTTAGTGTTCCAGACTAACTAAGCACTTACCTAATTAAATTTCATTGAATTTTCATACATAATAAGAGGCAATAAGGTTTTCAATAACTTTGTAAAGAATTTTCTCTTTCACCGTAAAACCATTCATTCCAAATAATAATATGAAATTTCCATAGCTACAGGATGTTGTTGAAAGTTGGTATAAACTTGAAATTTTAATAGCACTTAACAAATACACGTTGAATGGAGCGTGTTGTAAAATGCCTCACCCTATATAATAATAGTAATGTTTTGTTACTTCGTACTTGGTTTGTTCTTTGAGTACTAACATAAACATTATGTGAGACTAAGGTATTTAGGTCTTGGGTCACAAAATGGGTTGCCGGGGCTCGGGCTCGAAGTGAAGGAGTAGGAACGGGGTGGTTTTTAGTCAATAAGAGTCTGACACTCCCTCTCGCCTCACCCGGGGGAGAGAAGTCATCAGATGATCCCCCCCCCCAAAGGGTTGGGTTAAATGTTAACGTCACAGTATATGATTCTTACACACATATTTACGGGAAAGTCCCGTAACGCCGGACGGTACCTAACGCCGAACACTTGGATTTTCTCGACAACTGATAACACGAGCGATTCTGGGTGTGATGTGTATGTGAACTTGTATGTTTGTAAACGAACCCACGACACAGGAGAAAATCCTAATGTGGGGCAACGTTTTGTTTTACAGAAAAAAAAATAATAATAATATAAAACAACCATACTTTGTACTAGTTTTTTACTACCGTGTCATACCGGCTCACTTCAAAGCCAGCCACAATCCACACAGACAGACGATTAGACTTTTTATATTAACACATTTGGCAATTAAAATTATCCATACTATTAATATTTTTTACTTCAGTGTGGTATATCTCTAATTATATCTACAATTCTGTAGATTTGACTAGTCATGTGCTATTGTGTGGTATCTGATTGTTAGACGTTGTGTCCGATTTGTTATGTGTTTTGTAGATATATGTATGTACATACATACATGTGTAAGTTAGTATTTTATTATGAAGTAATTGGTGAATGGTTTTGTGTCCAAAATTACTTGAAAGTGTCATGATAAAAGCTCCTTTCTGATAATGTTTTTTCTATAGCATGTTAATTACGTATGTTAGTTCAGTTTAATTACTATCGATGTACCAGATACACCAGAGAAGTTTGTAGGAGATTCAACATTTGGGGGGTAAATTATTTGGGGGGGGGGGGGGGTAAATTGGGCCACCGGTCACCTCACTAACACGACGTAACACAGTGCAATCGTTGTTTCTTCACGTCGATTTTCTGTGAGGTCGTGGTATCAGTCCGGTCGAGCCGGCCCATACGTGCCGAAGCCTGACTCGCCCACACTCTGTAAAATGAAATGTGTGTATGTTTTTAAACATACACACATTTTATACTCCTAATAAAAAAGCAGGCTGAAAAATTCCAAAGTCTAGTGTTACATCAAAATAGTTTAATTACTGACTAACTGGAGTTGATTGAATGATTGATTAGAGCTGTGACAATTTTGTTGGCGCTCGGTCGTTGTGAATTAAATGAACTGTTATGTAAGAGCAAACTTCAAAACATTTAAGATGATATTAAAATGAAAATGAATATTTAGTTTAAACCGTCAAACACCGAGCGGTCACCGGTGACCGCAACCTATTGTTCTTTAATTGTGTCTATAATGACGGTACCTACTCAACGAGTTAAGAAAATAGGTTAATGTATAAGAGATTATCATGCAGTTACTATATATATTTTTAAGATAACTGATTGCTTCATTGTCCTTGTCGGGTCGAAGTTGTCGGGTTTATTTCGCAGTTTGGGCAACATATTTTTGAATGCTTTAACTGCTTTCCTTAAATGCTTTTAATGTTGCCCGATGTACGGCAATAGGGTCATCCGTTATTAAACGCTATTTACCAATATATAATTTGTAACATATCTGACGATGTATATTCAACGAGCACCTCTGGTTACTCATGTCTAGGAATAAAAAGACATGATATTATATAACTTAATCTAGTCTATATAAATGCCCACTGCCAAGAAAAGCCTCACGGAGAAGGTTTGAGCATTAATCACCACGCTTGCTCAATGTGGGTTGGCTATTTCAAACTTATAGTTAAAAAATATAAACTCAAGTTTCCACGATGTTTTCCTTCACCGTTTGTCAGTGGTGTCTAAATAATCTTAGAAAGTACATATCACTCGGAAAATGTCACATTGGTATTTGCCGTTGGGAAGTTTCGAACCCTCACGTATGACAAGCGGGCGTCTTAAACCTCCAGGCCACCACGATATATTCAACGATATTAATATTTTGACAATTCAGTCGATCTGTTGATACCTCTACCTAAACCTTTTACAAAGAGGTGTGATATATCAAAATGTTGTTTTGCGAGCATTTATTTTATAAATTCAGTTCGGAACTACACACGTTACAGAGAGCCCAGCACATTCATTACAATAAAATTTATTACTGGCCATAAATCTTCATAAATGTTTCCTGATATATATCGTATTTAATTATGAAAATTGGGCGCAGATGTATGTATGTATGGTAAGGGGATGTAAACAGATGATGTGTGATTAGTGTATTACTTTTATTAGTTATCGATAACTTTAAATATTTGACAAAGGTGGGGTTAGCTGCCTCTTTGTCTGTGTAGTAGATATTGGATTTGATTCCCTTTTTTTTGGGGGGGAAAATCATCCAATGGCTTCCCACGCCTTGGGTTAGGGGAGAGAGAGTGTCAGACT